TAAAGTGTAACTTTCCGTAAGAATTCTTTTTTTTTTGCTTGCTTGTTTTACGGATAGGTGCAATCGCATAATTATTATTGATAATGTTTTATTTAATTTTAACATTACTACTTTTTCAGTGAATCTTTAAATCTGTTGTTTTTTGTTAAGTTCGTTATTTAAACATATGTATGTAATACACTCATATTAACACTAATCATATTTTTACGTTTTTATTCATCATTTTCAATGCCCCCCCGGTTGCATCTTTGTAAAGGACTGTGAATTTTTTAACAAATTAAGTGATTTTGTGTTTGATACTAATTTAACATTTAAATTCCTTGTGTCTTATTTTGTCCTAGATATATACTTTTTGCGAATTTTCGGTGGACCGTATCATATTGGTAAAATGGCACCGTTGGAATAAATTTTCCGGATACGCGATAGTTATCTCCTTTAAAGTTACATAGCAGGAACATTTTACTCGACTTAGAAAAACGTTTATCAAACGAAGGAATGGAAAAATATACGAACGGAATTCCTTAAAAGTTACGGTATACGCATAGCGTAGCCCTTTCCATGTTTAATGCGGACGTTATATGTTTATGTAAAGAAAAATATATACTTTTGATGTATGGGGATGAATTTGAAAAGTTTGCTAGAATGAGTTTTTCAATAAGGATTTTTATGTTTGATGGTTTTCCAGTTGCAAGGTAGTTGATGGTTTTCAAATTAATTTATTTAATTATGATAATATTTAAGGTATTACAATTCACCTCTCCTTATCTGATGGCGGTAACTAGTAAAAAAACTAGTAAAAAACACAAAAAATACAGCAAAAAATCAAAGTAGTTTAATTTTTAAGTCATTTTGAAGTGAAACTTCTTTATGCGCGATGGGAGTATAAATTGAAGGCCGTGACACACGAGACGCGTCAGGAAAAGTGGTAACTATCGGAGGTTACGACGGAGCGCCGTTACACGGGCCCAATGTGAACTAGGGGGCTGAAACTCGGAATGTAGATGCGACTCGTAAAGCCCCATCTTTTTATGATATTTTGACGATGTTTCGTGCACTATGAAACCCCATCATCAATGGCGAAAAAATCGTTCGATTTAATGGGTCTTTGGAGCGTCGTAACTCGGGCCCTGTGTGAGCTAGGGGCTTGAAACTGGGAATGTAGATGGGGCCCGAAGAGCCCCATCTTTTCATGATATTTTAACAACGTTTCGTGCACTGCGAAACCCCATCATCAATGAATGAAATCAAAAAATCGTCCGATTTGAATGAAATTTGGTATGTCGATAGATTGGACCAAGGCCAACTTGACTGTGTACGACACGAGTCACTGTGGCAGTTTGTGAAGTATTAACGTAAGAAACGTCAAAAATTCGTCCGATTGCGACCAAATTTGGTGGGTAGGCTATGTGAGTCACGGTGCACACGGTCCCACCCTGCAAAATTGAATACGACGACTTTTCCTTTACATCTTCATCAGGGCGAGACTAACGATTTGATATTGAAGAAAAATGTGGATCGTTTTCGATATAATTGGGGACGGGCTACAGGATGACTCCCTCGACGTTTCGAACCGATGCCTCTAAATAGATGAAATCATCAAGATTTTTCTCTCTTAATTATGTGTCGATTGGAATAAACCTCGGCATTTCGATAGAGGTACCCGAACAGAGTCCTTCGACGGATGTAAGAAGAAGTTTCACTTCAAATATGCTCACATAGTGCACACACAATTTTTTTTTATTTTAGTGTTTTTTGGTTTTTCCTAGATTATTTGGTGACTTTTTCGCACCGTTTTGCTCTTTTTTATCTTTACTGGTTGCTTTTATTTTTTTGATTAATTTTAGTGAATTAACTTAGAGCCTACCAGAAACTTTTTTATTATTAAACAATTCTAAAATTAACAACGTAACTTTTTTGAAATACTTTTTTAACAATTTTTGTCATATTTTATAGAACATTTTTAAATACTGTCAAGAGAATCGAAATAAGTGTAAAATTACTACGTTTTCTATACACTCAGATGCATAAAAAATGCAACGGAGAAATTTTTGGTCAATTTTAAAGTGTTATATTTCTGTTATTTTTAGCCCTATTTTCATGAATTTTTTAATAAGCTGTAGATAATTACATCAACTTTTATTCGTAAACTAAGTTTTTTATAAACTTTAGTATTTGGCATATTATACAGGGTTAATCGAGGGGTTGTTTTTTTACCTTAACTTTAAAACACCCTGTGCAATAATTTTGTATGTGAATTTTCCTAAAATATAATTTTACGGTCAGAACCATGACTCCTGGGCATTTGATTTATGTCAATACATGCTTTGGTTAACTTTTGAGAGCGAAATGAACTGATTATGATCAATTTGCAGTTTTTTCAATTATCATTATTTTTTATGTAATTTTTTAATCTGACGAGATGGTTTTGGTGACTATTGTCATAACGTCATATTATGCTGCATTGGTTACTGTATACTAAATTAAAAATAAACGTTAAATACTAAAGATACAGTCCTGGTTTTAATAAACATTAATAACGATAACAGAAATAACGATATTAAAGAAATCATCTGTAATAATCAAATATATAACCAGAAAAAAAAATTGTAAAAAACAACCTAATACATTGTATTGCCTCCCTTGGATGTTATAACTGCCTGTATACGTCCGTTAATACTGTCATGGAGGCTGCATATATCGTATTGCGATATGTTTTCTCATTTTTCTTTAAGGGCCAAGCAAAGTTCATTTAATGAAACTGGTAGCCGCTTCGCGACCTCTAACCCTCCTGCCAATCATTTCCCAAACGTCGAACATGATGAACAGTGCATAGTGGTTTATAGTATACAATAATCTCAAAAGCCGCCTTATCATATTGAAAAACAACTTCAAAAAGAAATGATAGTTGAAAAAATTGCAAATTGCTGATGGCGAATTCACTTCGCTCTTAAGAATTAACGGAAACATGTATTGACATGATCCAAAAAACAAAATGCTCAGGAGACATGGTTCTGACCGTAAAATTATATTTTAGGAAAACTTACATACGAAATTATTGCACAGGGTGTTTTAAAATTAGGGTAAAAAAACAACCCCTCGATTAACTCTGTATAATATGCCAAATACTAAAGTTTATGAAAAACTGAGTTTACGAATTAAAGTTGATGTAATTATATACAGGGTACTAAAAAATTAACGAAAATAGGGCTAAAAATAACAAAAATATAACACTTTAAATTTGACTAAAAATTTCTCCATTGCGTTTTTTTTGGATCTGAGTGTATATATATTTTTTTTTAATTTCTACATTATTGAAAAATTAATAAAGCCTTGTATTTAAATAACGGTAATGATTATGATTTTTGACAATACACAAAATTTGTCGATAAAATGTCACAAAAATTAAAAAAAAAAATAAAAACAATATTGATTTTTGATTGAAAAAAATTACAAGTTTCAAAATTGATTTTGATAATACAAAGTTCTTTCTGGTAGGCTCTAATTTAACTCACTAAAATTTGGTGTTGGTTCCTTACCCAGAACCAGAGATGTACTCGTAGTATATTATTTATACCGTATGACAAAAAAACGGTGTCCAGTTGGCTGGTAAATGACGATCGATAACATTTCCCATATAAATTTACATATAAAATGACAGCGATCTTCATCTCATAGCCATCGCTGACACGTAATATACACTACGGAATTGTACAAGCCACTGATTGCCCATATTTGATTATAATATACAAATATACATTAACCAGTATTTTTTTGTATTATTATATTCCATTTTTCTGGTTCCAATGCAGGGTGCTATGCTGGAATCATTTTGCCAGGTTAACAGATAAAGTTCGCTTCATACGGAACTTTTTTATTTATCGATTTAGATGAAATTTTACTTTAGTGATAGTTTCTGCTTTAATTGGGATTAAAAATTGCTTAAAAATTTAGATTGTTGCCCTCGGGTATCTGTCAAATTTGACATTTACGGGGGGGTTTATGGGTTTTCTAATTGAATTCTGAAAAACTTTATTTCAAAAAGTGGTTTATTTTTAATCATACGTAAATTAGATCAATTTTAAACTAGATGAAAAATAAAATTTCGTATTTTTTCGCCAAAAGCATCTGATTCTCGTGGTAGAAGCGAAATCATTTGATGGTAGTCTGTTTGTTAGTCAAATATTTATCTAGTGATTATATTATATACAGTTAAGTTGATTGAATCTGCTAGTTTTTGATGGCAAATAAATTTGGTTGTAAAATTTAAATAAAAAGTGGTGCAAAGTATGAATAACTGTTACAACTACTACATTCTACATTTTACATGCTGGGAACTTATTTACATGATACCGAATGTCAAAATATATTTTTTAGAGTCCACTTATAGAACTGTTTGGTTAGACATTGCCCCTATATGATTTCTCTAATCAATTAGCTAATTATCCTTACTACTATAACAGGCCTAATTTTTAAAGAAAATCTAAACTAAAGTTAGATAATTAGGGGGAAAAAATGTATAGAAAAATTGTCACCACGATATATGTAAGGATTATTTATAGTTTGCATCATGGAATCATTTTTTTTTATTTTACAACAAAATTTAACTTTTCAGTAGTTTATTCAAAATATTTAATTAAATATGAGTACTACATAGATATTCGAATGGCAAACAGGCTCCTATTATTTAAATGTGCTTCTATCACTAAAATCGGCTGCTACTAAATGAATCAACTTTTTCATATAAAGTTTTTGGAAATTCGGCCAGAAAACCTATTTTTTAGCTAATTATTACTATAAATTTCAAATTTGACAATAACCCGAAGAAACCAGGCAAGATTTTCTTCTGTCAGTTTTAGTCTAAATCGCTCAAGTCAAATTTCACCGTTCAGTACAGTAAATAAAAAAACTTCCATATGATGTGGACTTTATTTGTAACACTATGTATGTATATATTGGAAATATGTTTACAGTATTGAATTCTATATAAAATATCTTTTTAGATGGGGTCCCGCACAAAACTTGAAATGGAGGACTGATGACTAATTTTATAATTCTGGCTTCTAAAATATTAAGGTAAGATCTGTAGTATAGTTTCAATAAAATACTTAAACACATGTTTAAAACTGTTCATTATGTGTATTAGATTTTATTAGACACAAAAGCTAATGGAATATCTTATTTAATTATGGTCGCTTTGTTAGCAAAGTTTCACAGTTTTAAATTAACTGGCTTTACAATAATTATGTATTTTACGAACATGCTTCTATAGTATAAATTTATATTATCCTAAAGTTCCAGCAACAAAACACATGTGCATTTGCGGAAAGTTACGAGTTAGTTTATCGAGTAAGGGTTATTATTTACTCAAAGCAGTGGCGGCTTTAAAATATAGGTTCGGAAAATAAACAAAATGCTTACCTATTAAGATAGTTTCAGTATTTTAGTTAAGAATAATAATAATTATACAATTTTATTTCAGATTAATTACATTAATATTACAATATACATGAAACTAACCATATATATATGAATACCAAACCAAACTAAATCTAAAGAAAAAATAGTAAAATAAAGGGGAAAACTATAAAATAATAACATAATTAGTTCTGTAAGTATCGATCAGATGCCGTTAAGAAAAATATACAAAATTCCTCACCACTCGACTTTTACTCTAATGAGGCGAACTTTTATAAACTATATCCCATAGAATGTAAAATTACGTTCTAGGTATGTTTTTGATGGGATATAAATATCAAATCTAATTTTATTGTCGATACAATAATATATACTGTGTTTTTTTTTAATTGGATTAGGACCAATTTTAGGAGCTATTTTTCTCAGTAAGAATAAAGATAATATATTAGTATTAATGGCAGATAAGGGTAATACTACCGTTATCATTAATAGAACTAAATATCTAGAAAAATCTCAAAATATTATAAGAGATGAAACGACATATAAAAAATTAAAAAAGATCCAACGATAACAGTTCAAAATAAAAACAAAAAAATGATTGACACTGTAGTAAGAGAAGGATTTATTGACAACGAGCAAGGTAAGAAATTAAAAACTGGTGCTGCTAATCCACCGAAGATTTATTTTCAGCCAAAAATACATAAAAATAATAGACCTTTCAGCTCCATAGTATCGTTTGTGGGATCACCTCTGTACTCTCTGACTAGTTTTTTAGCATCTCTTTTAAATAGTAGTGGGAACTATCGAATGAATACTATCGAAACATTCGATAGTTGCAATTCATTCGAATAGTTCGATAGCTAGTAAGAAAACATTCGCTGAAATCTATTCGAATAAAAATTATCGAATAGACGCGTCATCTGCCTTGAAATATTGTATTCTAGTAATTCGGCAGCAAAAACCATTCATTTATAAAATTCATTCATTTATGAAATTCATTTATTCGTCCGGATCGATTATAATAAAATATTAACTGGATTTTAGTTGTCGCCCGGCGACGTAGGTTTCTTTCCGAGAAACCCGACAACAGTCGGTGGCAATGCTATGAAAGAAGGCGGCATCTTTGATTTTTTGCGGAGTAGATAAAGATAAGGACACATTATTTTTTTTATTGAGGTGCTAGTATTTACACAAAAAATACATTATGAAGGGCACTGTTGCCATATATTGGTATTAGTTGATATTAGCAAAGAATATTATTGTCTGGCTTTAGTTAGTTAGGGATAGTATGTCTATATATTTTGCATTTTTTTATTAATATTCTGTTGTTATACTGCAATAATACTTGTTATTTTGGATGTAGGAAAATGATTTTTAATGCTTTTAAGCAAAGACTGGTTTAATAAATAATAATAACAGTAATAATTTGTTATACCTATTAACGACAAAATTTAAAATCATTTAATATAAACATTTTTTTAAGTAGTGGCAAAATATAAACAACAAATTAGATGTCAAAATTATTTATATTAGATCCTATTTAAAAATAATATAGACTCTAAATTTTTTGGCAACGGTTGTTTTTTAAATAATAATAATTACAGAACTAATTTGTTATATTAACTACAAATTTTAAAATCATGAAATATCAATATTTATTAATTTTCTAAGCATGCAGTGTAATGAAAGGAAAATAAAAATAAAAAATTAGAAATCAAAATTATTTATATTAGGTGCTTTATATTACTATTTAAAAATAATATTATTTACTTTTACTGGCATTTACTTTAAAAAATAAATGAAATATTTCTTCGCAAAAAACTACATGTAAGAGAATTAGCATAAACAAAATACAAACATCGTTAACTTTTTTTTAAAATTGGCACGTGTAAAAGTTTCAATTTAATTTTCTCACCCCATAGTTTAAGTTCGATAACCATTTACTTAACCACATTACTTAAATATGATTATTAAGTTCAACTAATTCATATTATTAAAACATCTAAAATACAAATATCTATTTTTAAAATTAATTCAAAAATTTCATCTCATCTCTCTTAAAAATTGGTACTTCTCAAAATTTTCCATTAAAAAATAGACCATATACCATATAAAATTAAATAATTGAAAGATCGGGCTATGGAAAATCACAAAAATTTTCGGAAAAATGTTGACCACTTGCACACGCACACAATCGTCAATTAAAAAAAAACTACTATTTTAGTATTTTAAATATTTTAATAAACGCAAAAATAGCACAGTATTTATACGGCGAAGTTATAAAAATTTGGAAGAACTAATAATGCACTGACGCACACAAAAAACAAACGGATACTAAATTTCATTTACCAAAAGCATTCGATAGTCGTGGCTCAACGATAACCATTTAGTGGCACGGCGAGGTTGTCACGTATGCTTTAGTATACAAATGAATGAATGATTTTATTCGAATAAAACCATTCGATAGTTGAAATCATTCATTCAATAACCATTCGATAGTCTAATTCATTCGATAGTTCCCATCGCTACTTTTAAATGGTATGTTTGTCAAGAACGAGAGTTATGTCCGAAATTCATTTGAATTTGTTAATTATATAAAAAGCATTAAATTACCTAAATATTATCAACTCATATTTTTAGACGTTATATCACTTTTTACTAATATCCCTACAGATATAGTAATTCATATAGTTAATAAGAAATAGCATCTTATAGAAAATGAAATTTCCCTTACATAGATCTGTTGAACTCTTAACATTTGTTTTTGATAACAACTACTTTCAATACCAAGATGAGTTTTATCAGCAGATATATGGACTGGGAATGGGTAATCGTCTATCACCGATTTGTTCTGATTTAGTTATGCAGGATTTACAGGATCAATGTATTAAAACACTTCCTTTTTAATAGCCGTTTTATAAACGTTATGTGGATGATATTCTAACTTCAATTCCTATTAATCAAGAACAAAGTATATTAGACATATTTAATTGTTATCACCCTAAGCTACAATTTACATTGGAGAAAGAAATAAACAATAGCATCGCATTCCTTAACGTGCGACTAATTAGACACAATCAATCAATAGAGACAGGTTGGTATCATAAACCGACATTCTCTGAAAGATTTCTTAATTATTCCTCCGAACATTCTCTTAAACAAAAAATTAATGTTATTAATAACCTGAAAATCAGAGCTACATCACTATCATCAATTAATTTTCCTAATAAAAATTTAAAATATATCGAAAGCATATATATTAAAAATATATCCGATATATATATATATATATATATATATATATATATATATATATATATATATATATATATATATATATATATATATATATCTAAAAGCATGTTGATTAAAAATAATTATCCGATATCTATGATTAAAAAAATTCTTAACAAGAAAACCTCTGTAAAATCTACTAATCAAAATGATAGACAAGTTTATTGTAAAATACCTTATATCGACTGTCTGTCAGAACAAATTAAAGACACATTTAAGGGTCACATTACAAAAAAACAGGAAAAAAATAAAAATTGCAACAAGGAGCCATAACACCATAAAGAGACGGTTATTTTCAAAAACAAAATCAAAGAAAAAAAAAGAACTGAAATCCGGCATAATATATAACATTCCTTGTACGCAATGCCCTAAAAGCTATGTTGGGTAGACCGGTAGATATTTAAAACAAAGATTAGACGAACATAAAAATGATCAAAAAAACTTTATTTTGAAATCTAAGCATACCGCATTAGTAGAACACAAATTAGAGACAGGCCATAACTTCGATTTTGACAATACCACTATTTTACAAACACGTTCTTATTATAAGAAAAGATTATTTGCAGAGATGATAGAAATCCAAAAAAACAAAAATTGCGTTAATAAAAGAACAGACGTAGAAAACCTGAGTACAGTATATTTTAATATTCTTTCAAAAATTAAATAATATAACTTCAAAATAATGGTTTAAATCCAAATAATATTTTTATGTTTCTTTATTCAACTATTCTTTAAATTTTACTCTCAAATTTTAGTTTTTCAAATGAAATGCTTTATATTTGTTGAGCTCAGTGAATTTGCTATAAAATTCCGGTTCCAAAAATACCTTAATACCATAGAGTATACTGAGTGGTTTTTTATTTATAATCACGTCCATGGGGACGTCAATTTAGACTGTGTCGTATGAGAACTTAATACTAATCGAGACGATCGATTTATTGTAAGTTTATCGCTAAGAAACCGCCGGCCGTTTGCCAGCTTTTCAAATTTATAATGAATTGCACCTAAGGAACGTACATATTAACTAACGGACTATAAGAAGAAGACTATATATAAGAATCGCTTTTAAAACGTCCTTCAACGTTGTCCAATGCCTAGTCGCCATTGGTTTCGTTCATCCCCGTCTGCGTCACGCAGATCCCTTGAGCTTATCGCCTTCTTGATACCGTCCATCCAGTTTGTCCTTGGTCTTCCCCGTGTCTTTCTCTTTTGTGGAAGCCAGTGTAGTACCTTCTGAGGCAGTCGCCTGTTGTCTGTCCTTCTCATATGTCCATACCACTTCAATTGGACACTCTCTATTTCCTCTACCATGGTTTTCTGTCTACCCATTTTGTTCCTGATTGTCTCGTTTCCTACTCTATCCA